TGCTTGAAGCAATCCACCTTGTGAAAATGATGAAGTTAATGAAAGTGGAAGTGAGAATGATTTTATTTGTGATGATAACAGAGAAGCTGAAGACAGCATGGGTGAGAAAGAAGTGTGCATACAGTGCAAGACTGATGCTGATGGTGTATAGGTACAGTGCGAGTTGTGTGGCATGTCTGCTGTTGTGGCAGACAGGACCTCAGAGACAAGACCAAAGATGATATTCTTGCTTCTGCTTGAGTTCATGTGCAGCTCATGTGTCCTCAACAGTCACATTTACACTCAAACTGTGCTCATATATGCACCATTGTTTTTTTACCATCAAGACAGGAAAACTTTGTTTAAAAGGTTCATGTTACAAGGTTTGAATTAACTAAAAGTTTTGATAGTTTCGTATCCATGTGTTTCGTTTGTTTCCCAGAGTTGTCTTACAAAATACATATAGGCCTATATATAATATATTAGATATATAGTAGTCTCCGCCTAAACACACGTCATACAAAAGCATGCTCCACTGAAACGCACGCTTTCGTCATCTGACGGGTTTTTTACTACATAATTTAGATGTACAAACACATGGTCACTCCCTCTAAAGGCACACTCCAATCCGCGAAGGGAAATCTGCACAGCTTGCATAGGACAAGCCTAGACAGCATGATATTTGGTGAGACTGTCCCTCACACCGAACAAAGAAAATGATTGACAGCGTTTTCAAACCCAACTTTCCAAAGAGAGTAAATAGGTCTAGGACTGGTCGGTGAAATGTTGGGTGACTGAAATGTTATCTGATTGGTCACTGGGTTTCTGACAGGTGTTTGGGTGAGTGCATGTAATGTTTAGTTAGACCTAGGCCTATGATTCGAAACACGTGTGAATGCTCGTCCATGAATTTACGGTTAGGGGTGGTCGCTAGGAAAGTCATGTGGCTGGGCCGTCGACTCTTTGACTATCACCAACAGTTTCCTCTTACGCTCTCTGTTCCCGACATTTTATGGTGCATATTAATACATTTAATGTGTATTTCTCCCCCCACCCACCCACACGCCTTTTTGTATTCTTAACCGCAATCGGGGAATCCTTCACAAAACCGTCACATGTCGTCACATTATCGCCTCAAAGTGACCCCCGCCCCAAAGGGAGGTCACTAGATTATCAAGGCAATGAGATGAGTGTGTCCCTTCCTCCCTTAGCAAAGGTTCATGTAAACGCACGCTCCGTATATAAACACACGCTAAAGAGCCCTCCCGAGCACAGTGCGTTCAGGCCGAGACTACTGTATATAAGTGGAACTCGGATTTAACGAGTTCGGATTCAACGAGAGGAGATAGATTCCCTGTTTTTTTTCTTCTTTAAAATCACTAAAAATAACCCGGATTCAACGAGCACTTCAATCAGCAAGCTCGGATTCAACGAGGTTGCTGCCTGGGGGAACAGCCCCCAAAGACGTGGCTTTGCTCATTTTTCTTCCAGAACGAACATTATCTATTCCCCGGAAACCATCCATTGCACCTGCATCCTGAACTATTGTTCACTTAGCCGATTGAATGCGACCAATGAGCGGCCTTTTTTCATACCAACACATACGTTGTTGGGACCCGCACGTTTATGCTCTGGCGTGTGTCGGGGTCGGATGGGCGGCCTGCACACGTGTGGCTGTGTCGGGGAGGGGGGGGGGGGGCACCAGCGGTCCGGGCGTTGAACGTCGCAGAGATACAAACGTGTTCACAGTCTTTTTTTCCCCCTCAGCAACTGATCATTATTATATAAGCTAGTATTGACGTAGAGATCTACGCATTGAATTGAGCGCCCGTCTATGGAATCAAAAGTTGCCGCGTGCTAGGCTCTACACAGCAACACAACTTTTTGGCAAACAATCAAGATGACTCAAGCGTGCATTTGAACGAATTGGTCTTTTTTTTTACGCAGCTCATAATATGCAGGCATTTCAGACACTACTTATTACTTCTATTTACACATTATGTGCTGAGTGCCTGTAATAACCTTCACAAGGACACTTTTTTAATTGGCTCAAAGAGAGGAGTGGCCCCTCTTGTTATGTACACTCTTTACTATAGGTATCTATGTATCGATACCTAGGCATCAATACCTGCCCATCACTAGTTTAGACAAAGAGTCTACATAACAAGAGGGGCCACTCTTCTCTTTGAGCCAATTAAAAAAGTGTCCTCAAAATTTGGTGGCGCCCTCTTCGCGAATGCGCACCCGTTGCGAATAGAGTTACCCTACTTTAGTTTTAAAAATCAAAGTGAAACTAGCAAGTTTTTGAATAAATTTAGGAAGAACGCTTTTTTAAAATGGTTACGCTGACAAAAAACCTCTGCCGGAGGAAGGGGTGATTGTTTTCTTCGTTTAATTTGACTTTAGAATGAAAGGCAAGAAGTCATTAGGCCTAAAATTAAAAAAAACCTAAAACTCCTCACTGAACGAACCCGAACTGCTGATGAACAGCAGTCGATCTGCGCACGCAAGGAGGTGCTATTCCTATTCCTCTTCTGGAAAAATGAAAGAGAGCTTGAAAACAGACTGCAGCGCCATCTGAAGCAAAGAGCGGACTTCCGGCGGACACTTTTTTGGCTGAGTGGACCATCTTGTTATGTGCTATCTTTGGTTTTTGATTCAGTTTTGAAATGCGATTTCGTAGTTTATGCGACTTATTTGTTTTATCGCGATGCCAAAATTATAGCCCAGATACCAGTCTTAATTTAGTACTTTTACACAACAAAAATAATGTATCTTTATTTTGCTCACTAAATAAATAATATTGATACTATTGGACTCATATTGCCAATGCATTGTTATTGAGAAATCAATATTTTTGAGTGCTAGGTATCTAGGTCTAGATTCTAGATCTAAATTGTAAAAATATTTTTTATCCCAAAAATCACAACTTTTTGGTGAAGATAAACAAAAGTGCCACTCAAGACATGTATAGGTTTATTCCAAATGCAATTCTGAATAATTCCTTATAGATCTAGATCTAGATCAAAATGATTTTTTTTCTATTTGTGATCCTTTTTTAATGATTATATAAAAAAATAATTTTTTAAAAATATCAAATGTTATGATCCAAATGTACAAATATTTATGTAATGTCATGTAAATAACTGCAAATATTTCAATATTTTCCAGTTCTATATATTCGTTTATGGTTATTTTGATGTATCATTTGACTAGATCTAGGTGCAAACATATTTTTTGAGTTACAACAAAGATTACTAATTTTTTATTTTCAAATTTTGTCCGCATCCAATCAAAATTGTATTGCATAATCGGCTCTTACAAGAACCGAAGTTGAAAAATACGCAAATAAACATTACAGATGTATTCGATAAACCATACTGAAATTTTGGTATTTAATATGCATGGTGATATTTATTTGAATTTGTGGCCCCAAAGACCTGTGAATTGTGCACTAGTCATCATCTCATTTCACCCTCTTGAAAAAAATTCATCAGCAAGCCAAAAATAATGTGTAGCGAATGAGTTAAACCCTTGTTTTAGAAACTTAAAAGGTTGTAGTTGTTGGAGTTTGTTTTGTTCATGTCTGACAAACTAATTCTCAAAAGTCAATTATCTCCCAATTTTATAGTAACGACTAAGTAAGAATTTTTGCATGAATGCATTTAACTTACACGCACATTCACGCATTCAGACACAAAATGACCATGACTATGAATGAATGTAAACGATTTTTAATAAACTGTCAGGGTTCATTGTAACAACAAGAAATAAATGAGTAATATTGACTAGAATTAGAATTGTGTCCACTTGGAGGGGGGAAGAGTGGTGGTGGTTGGGCCAATCAAAAATAAAATAAAGTTGACATACCAAAAGGGGACAAGTCCGACTGTAATACACAAAGAAAATAAACTGATTAACTATTCTTCAGAGCCATCTCAGGGTTCACATTCCAGTCTTTCCAGTGACTTTAGATTTTTTTTCTCTCATGAAAATCCTACAAGCCTCCTCAGCATGAGACATGGATCACTTCCTTTTCATTAAATGAAAAGGCCTCATGCTTGAGTAGGTTGACTGCTTTACACAGACAAAAGATGACTGCCATGTATGTGTGTGGGTGTGTTGTCAAATCATTGACTTGGCTTCGGGATCGAGAAGGGGGAAAAATGATGCTTGCCAGACGCACACCACCTACATTTTAAAGAGTATGCAAACCCCCGAAACGAAATTTTAAAGAGTACATACTCACGCACAACAAAAATTTAAAGGGGTAGTCTGCTGGTTTAATGTGTAATATACGCACATCTGTGTGTAATGGGGTCCCCTGATCCATGTCATGTTCAAAATTTATAAGAATTACGAATTTGCAGAAATTGTCGTTTCCCCCGAAATGATGAAAAAAGTTTCCTTTTTCAGGGAATGAATTATGAGTGAAAATCACACCCAATGGTGTTTTTTTGTTGTTGTTTGTTTTTTTGTTTTTGTTTTTTGCTTTCTTTCAAATAAACGTTATAGTCAAGTCTTGTACCACCAACCTTGGAACAAGCATGAAGTTGGCAGTAAAGTAAAAGGGGGTAGGTGGTATAAACTATGAACAGGATTCTGATGCTGTCTTCTCCTAAATTGTCATGACTGACTAATATCAAGGGCAATGATTCTTCTATGAAATTTATTTGAAAATTGGCTTTTTAAAATTGTTGGTGAATTATTTATTTATAGCTGAGACTCTTTTCTCTCTGTGTCTGTCTCCCTATGTCTCGCTGTGTGTCTCTCTGGTCTCTCTCTGTTTCTCTCACTTTCTATCGGTCTTTCTTTCTCTTGGTCTTTACCCCTGTCTCTCTGGAAAATTAATAGTTTAGTAAGAATCATACATTTCAGACATTTAGCAGATGGGTAAATAGTGTATGTTCATACATGGGCTCCTTTTTGTACATAAAAACAAAATCTGACGGTAGAGTGGGGTGGTGGTATAAGGATGTCATCGTCTTGACGTTATATTATATATTATCTCTTTTTTGCAGTTCAGCATGGAGCAAAGGTTGTTTTTTGTGATCTTAAGAGCAAAGGTTGGTTATTTTATTGTTGTTGTGTTTCTTGGAGCTGAAGCTATGATAGTGTTATCTTTTTTACAGTTCAACCTAGAGCACAGCCTGTGATATCTGTGAAATTTTAATAGATTTGTTTCACCAGACTTTGTATTTCGGATTGTATATATATATATATATCTTGAACAAATGTTAAAAAAACAAACCCCAATAAAAATTTTTGAGAAACAGATAAAAGGTAGCTTTTCAAACAAGCCCCAAAATAGTGTTTTTAGGGTGCTCAATTGAGATTAAAACATGTCCTACCAGACAGAAAAATTTTGTTTGAAAGGTGGTTAAAGTATAAAGGAATAAAAAAAGAAGGAGAGAAGGATCTCACCCATAATCACCTTAGCATAGATGTTTTCTATTTTATTTTTATAATAAGAAGGCTTGCACCTTATGTATGCTAGCTGGAAATAATCTGTTATTTTCACCCATCCTGCTGGGTGGGAGAGGAGGATTGATGTTGCAAAAACTAACTACAATGTGTTTTATTTCATCTGTCTGTTAAGTCTTTTGTTTATCACCCTCCTCTGCTTTATAATGTGTTTGTATCTTCCTCTGTGAATCTGTATCTCTTTTCTTTTCTTTTTTTCTCAAATGTGTTTGTTTCATTTCTGTACACTTCCCCTTTTTTAAATTCTTTTTTTTTTCATGTGAAAAAGAAATTGTCCTTGATAATTACAGTGGAAACCTGATATAACAGGGATGGTGGGAGTAGAAAAAATGTCCTGTTATATCCGATCCCTGTAAAATCAGAAATGCAAGGAAAGTAAGCATTTGTGGACTAAGCCAGCTGTACTTATTCATGGGTAGTTTCCTTTGCCACAAGTACCTATGAACAGGGGTTTTGGCACCAACTTTCTCCATTGCCTCACATCAGAAGAGCTTTTGCATCGGGTAGTCTCGTCTTCTTTCAACCCAGAGCAAACTTTCCATTGGAGTATGCTGCCGCTATCTTCTCTCTATCCTTGATAATGGTGTGAATCAACCCTTGTGGAATGTCGAACTGACGACAAATCTCTGCCAGTGGAGCTTGCTTTTTGTCAACAGCCTGGATTATTTCGTATTTTTTGTCAATTGAAAGGCATTTTCTCGTGCGCTTGACATCGTTGGTGACACATTACGCGTTTGTGTTGCTAGGTTTCGGGCTACATCGAGGTCTGCAGCACACCGCAGCCCTCTCTCGCTTCACACGCTGCGTGTGCTTGCAGTGGCATGACTTGCGTGGGCTTGCTCCATCACTTCGTTACTCTCTCTTACTTTTTACACATTGTAATGAGCATTTGTCCCTGCTATAACCGGTTGGGCTGCGATGAGGCCCTGTTATTGCTGATAACTTTTAATAGAGACAAAGAGTAGGAAAAATCGGGGATTTTAAAAATCCCTGTTATTACCGGATCCCTGTTATTACCGGGCCTGCTATATATGGTTTCCACTGTAATTTATCATCATTATCATCATCATCAATGGCCAGGTCTAAAGCAGACAGTGCTATCTTGGTTCGTCACCCTCTTCGCTATTTGAATTCTCTTTAAAAAAACAACAACAAATAAGTTATCTTTCCCTATTTGCTAATCTGTTTGACCTTTCTAAGCAAGTTGTTCTTAGTCCACCCTGACTTTTTTGCCATCTTTATTTCCAGTGAGATCATTCTATGTCTTGATTAATCTACTGAATGAAATGGTTTCCATTATGTAATAAATTATTTATTTATTTTTTAACAGAGGATGAAGGTAAAGCAAAAGCTGTTGAGCTAAATGCTAAAGGCCCCGGAGAATGCATATTTTTCTGTTGCGATATGACTGTCGAGTCGCAGATCAAGGTTAGTAGTTTTTAGCTTAGCTCTTCAAATGCCATGCACTCTAAGAGAGAGAATTACTAAAAAGATTTATCTCTGTAATAAAAAAGATAAAAGAAAATGAAAAATACTTGATTACAATGAACAATTAGCACTGATTTTTGTATTTTTAGATCAAGAAAACCAACAAGTGAAAATATTTAAATACAAAAAACCCCAAGTATTCGAACCCACGGCTGGAATCGAAATACTTTATGATCCAAGATGGTGGCAACTAGTTTTGTAGATATCTATGCGTTGAGGGTTCAACTGGCTAACACTAATGTCGCCCAAGCCTTCATATTTCACAGAAAGTTGGGTCTAAAACGGCCTAGTGATTAGGCTACCGGACTCTTAATCGTGAGGTTGCGGGTTCGGGGGTTCGAGCCGTGGGCCCGACGTTGTGTCCTTGGGAAAGGCACTTTACATGAATTTTCCCCACTTCACCCAGGTGAAAATGGGTACCCAGCTATAGACAGAGAAAGATCTTACCAGTTTGTTAGTGTTTGAGTGCTTGACCAGCTGCTTGCACTGCATGCTTCCCGGGAAGCTGAGAATGTTTGTGGGTGTTTAATGGTCTGCTGGGGTAATAATATATAGTATACAGCGCATAGAGCTTGCTTTCGAGTGGGGACATGCGCTATACAAATGCTTTTTATTATTATTATTATTAAAATTAGCTCGCTCTCTCAGTTCTAGAACTTTGCTTTTTTAGATCTAGACCTATGAGGCAGGGCAGCACTTTCTCAAGGTAAGTATCAAGTCCATTTTTGTGTGAATCGTTGAATATATCTAGTATTCGAACCTCGTTTCTTCTTCTTATGGTTCGATTTTAATGTTGTTGTTTCACATTAATTAAATCAGATTTAGTTATCATAGAAACCTAATTTGTCTCGACTCTGCCGGTTATTTGTGAACTTTCTTGACTAGAGCTTGGGTTCTTTTGTGTGGTTTTCTTCTGCTTTCTGACTTTGCTGTCGTCGTTTTCTGCTCCTTCCCCTCATAAATTTAGATTTTGCACTCTCACTTGTTCTTGGTTATCCCTGAAATGGCCTATACTATTTGACGATACTTACCTGCTTATAATTACTTACTTGGTTGGAGAAAAGGCATTATTGCAGGTGGCACAATGCCATTGCTGCTCCTCCCTCTCCAGGGTCCATGAAAGGGTCTGCCTGCTGATCGTGCCAGTTAACAGTAGGTTGGATATTCTTCTGGCTTTTCCACGCAGGTTGCTGTCTCTCCCCGACCCTCTAGAGACACTAGATTCCTTTAGTCTGTCCATTGTGTGTGAAGTGGTGCCTTCATCCTGTCTGTGGTCGTTGAACCTTGCTGTCAATGCTGCCATGATTGTTGGTGGATCTAATTGCATGGTGCCGCCAGTCTCTGGTGCCAAGAGTAACCTAAAACCCACAGGACCCGTCGACTCTGCTGGGTTTTCCTGTGGTTTTTCTTCTTGTCCTGTACACTGACCAGGGGGGCTTGATTGTTTCTTTTTTTATGGGTCTATCAATACTAATCAACACCGTGGGTGGTTGGCGGGTGCTCTGGTGTGGTTTGCTCCTTCTTTCCTATCAAATATCTATCGTCCTTATCTCCCCTTCTTCTTTTTTATGTTTGTTACTCTCTTGTAACACCTCTAATCTTCTGGCGCTCATATGACCTTATGCAGTTGTGAGCACCGTAAAACCTCTACTAAAACTAAACTAATCAACACCAGGAAACGGAAGGAGTAGACCACACCAGAGGGCCCACCAACCTCTCATCCTAACAAATCAACAAGAAACAAACAAAAGGGAATAAAAGTGGGCAATGGAACATTGACTTTGTCCTGTAGATATTTACCATACGCGTGTATCATCTATCAGCTTCGTCTCCTGTGTTTGTTTGTTTTGTTAGAGCTTAGCCCCATACACATGTACAAGAAAGACTCTTCAACTTCTACTGGAGTACCATACATCTGTAGCAATTGCTGCATTCAACGGATCTGCCGTACAAAATCGCATACAAACAGACATCTTGTATGAAGTATACGCTGCTTTTGAAAGTAGCACATGCACTCCCAAGTCCTGAGTTTCCTGTTTATGGGGGCTGGGTAGGCTGCTTACTTTGCTCTGCTCTGTAATTATTCCATGCTCCTTCTTTTCTAGGATTCTTTGTTACATATCACCCTCTCTGGGATCTTGTGGATGGTTGTCGAGAGCTCTGGTGTTGTCTGCTCTTTCAACTTCTTTCTTCTATGTCGTATTTTTGTCCGAATTTACATGTACTTCCTGTTGCTGAATGACCTTGCAGGCTTGATAAAGCCTTACCTCAATGTCAGTGGCGAAAACATTATCACCATCATAGCTGCCACAACTACCGTCATCAATAAGGGCTACAATATCAAAACCACCACCATGACCGCCTACTGAAAGCACCACACCACCATCAACAACAAACATCAACCGCTACTTTTATCATGCACAACACTACACGCTCATTAGCCAATAACCCCTAACCGCCGAATACTACATGTTCGGGATCTGTCCCAGAGATATAAGTGTAAGTTTTCCTCTTCTGTAAAATCAACAATATGGGTGTATTCCTGGCATCCAGAACTGAAAACACATTCAGCAGAATGGAGGAACCCAGGATCACCGCTGCTACCCCAAAAGCGCTGTGCAAGCAAGGTGCTTTGAAAATGATGCACATCGTGTTTTTCGACCACAAAGGTCTGATTTTGAACTGGCTGGTTCCCGTTGGCACAAAATGTTATGTTAATTATTAGTACAAGATAATGCTTCAAAAAAAGCTGAGACCAGCAGTCAGAAGAAAGTGGCCGGGTGTGCTTGAGCAAGGTTTTGTCTTCCGTCATGACAACCCTCCTGTGCACACTGTTCAAAGGTCACTTATCTCCTGGACTCCTGGCAGTGAGAAATCCTTGAACATTCCCGCTGTTCCGGAGACTTACACCATGCTACTTTTATCTCTTCCCCAAATTCTAAGAATTGAAGGACAACAAATTGGAAGAGGAAGAAGAAATTGTGCTCGAAACATATCTTGCGTTAAGGACTCTGGCCGAAGCGGATAAGGTCACAGCGTTTGACCGCCGGCTAAATTGGAGGAAAAAGTGCCTTGATACCAGTAATTGTTTTATTCGTGCGCATGATTCTTTCCATTGTCTTGGCAGTAAAGAAAAATTTGCCTAGTAATAGGTTGCATCAAGGTGTGCTCGTTTGTGTTGGAGCAACCCTGTATCGCAATGTCCCATCTTCATGTCTTCATAGTGTTGACGTATGCTCCCCCCCCCCCCCCAAGGCGGTGCCACTGACTGAAGTGTCTTTAGGCCATTTCCAAAGGGGGGACATTAACTTGTTCTTTTGCACTGTAGCATCGTACATTGTAAATGGGCTGATTCAACAATGCTCATAACTGTGCCTGAATTGCAAAAGGGAACTACTGCTTTTTCTTTCCTAATCCTTTCTATTGCCATTTTTCCTCTACTTATTTTGTATGTTTGTTATGCTCTTGTGACCTGCTATTTCCTGGGTGCCTTGATAGTCGAAGCAGACTTTGTGCTGTTGAAGCTAGAGAAATGAGCAGAGTAAGCCTGATACCCTGTAAAGACTTCTCTGTTGATATCCACCCCTTGGCACTTATATATGACTTTATGCAGTTGCGAGTGCCGAAAAACCTCTACTAAAACGAAACTAAAAAGATGTATTCCAGTTTCCATATCTGACAGAGTGTAGTTTCCTCAGCTGCATGTGGCATAGTTTCCAAGTCTGGCACAAGTGTGCTCATATCCACAGGCTGTAGCATTTCCAACCGATTGTCACTATTTATTGCCTTCAGCATCCTCTACCTCTTCTTCATTCACTTCATCCACGTCAGTATCTTCTCCCTCGTTTCCTATGGTATCGTCCTCCGACTCACTAGCCACATCACTCTTCTGTCCATTGTATCCATAGTCATCATCACTCCCATCTATTGCATCCACTACCGGTACTTGATACTGAGCGAAGATATTTTCCCCCATAGATAAAGAAACCATTTATTCTTCTCTCTATCACTATTACTTTTCTTTTCTCTCTTTTTCTATCACTATTACTTTTCTTTTCTCTCTCTCTCTCTCTCTTTCTCCTTCCTTCTCTCTTTCTGTCTGCCTGTCTCTCTGTCTCTGTCTCTCTCTCTGTCTGTCTCTCTCTCTCTCTCTCTCTCTCTCTATTTCTCTCTCTTGTTCACAAAATTTGACGCCAGCTAGGTTCGAACCCGGGCAATCCATATGAATGAATTCCCAGACAAGCGCCATACCACTGATATATATATATATAATTTATAGATTCATCCTTTCCACCAGTAGATCTAGGTTTGATAAAAGTACAGACTTATTCAACTTCCAAGTGATGCTGTGTGTGTCAGACCTGCCGACAACAATCAGTCTCAACACATGTATAGAATAATGTAGGATGATTAGGAGGCCTTCAGATGTCTCCAGCTCAACTGCAAGAATGCGAACAATACCCAACAGAAACCCAGACGTTAGAAAATTTCTATGTAGTGATTACTAGTACCTTATGCAAACGATGTGTTTGGGTCGTCTGTTACCCCGCTAGATACGGAAAGAATAACTGAGTTTTTTTCCTCTTTGGAGAGTGGGGGCACAAATGACCCTCCGGGCCGAGAAAAGGTTGTTTTGAAATGTGACCACTGGTCAAAAAGATAAATTACCAATTGCGATTTGCTTTGCATAGCAGTCTGTCAAAATGATTGTTTGAGGAATACTGAAAGTTTCAAAGAGATCTTCGCACTAGAAGTATTCTAAAGTGTGAAAAATACAACCCCTGGGGTGCAAAATGACCCGAGGCGTACCGATAGGGTTAATCTATCTATCTTGTTGTGTTATCTCTGAGCAGTGTGATTTGTCTTTTATAGACCATATCATCTAGCTTGATTTTATTTATGAGAGTGGTTAATTTAGCAGTTGATGTTTTAAAATGATTGTATCATTTTCAGGACCTTATAGGTTTCACAGTCTCACAATATGGCCAGATTGATTGCGTGGTGAATAATGCAGGAGCTCGTAAGTTTTGCTGTAGCTGTTTCTTTTTGGAGAAGGTTTGAATTCAGATTAAGTGAACTCATTTTTATTTTCTCAAAGTTGCATTTTTGTTCAAGCAAATAATAAATTTGTCTCGAGAGTTTGTTAAAGATTTCATTGTTCCTTCAGACCTCATTGAGCTATATTGGCTTGTAAAAATGGTAGACCTTAAAAGTGTTTTTGTTAATCCTGTTACCTGCTTAGTTTGAAATTCAGAAGTGTAGGTTCAACTTATTGCAAACTTTGTATGACGGTTTGAATATGGAACACTTTTAAAAAAATCATGTAAACCTCATCCTTGATTATTAACTCTTTCCCTACCAGACCATTTTCTTCATTGTGACCAAGTCATTGTGGTAGTCCTTTTCTCCTTTCTGCCTCTATCATTTAAAACTATACATTTTTCTAATTCTTTTAGAAAAAAAACTCAAAATGTTTTGTGTATTTAATTTCAGGAAAATGAATTTTTTATCAGGCATTTTGAAAAAAAAGTAATCTGAACAGAAAACATTGGTTTGTGTGAGTGTGAGGACTCAGGTGTGCTAGAGATTGAAGACTTTGTCATACCTCGAAATGTGGCCCAGGGCCATAAAGCATTGGTCATTAGAAGTGCATAATGTGGCTGACTGTAGGGAATGAGTAAAACAGTGTGTTAGAGATATTTTGTTTGTGATGAAAAGAGACATTCCTCTTTGTTTGTTTCTTTTCTGAGATCCTCCCCACAAGCCTATTGATGACTTCTCAGCTGAGGATTTAGAAAATCTACACAGGCTGAACGTTACGGGATATTATCTAATGTCCAAAGTGAGTATAATGGTCTGGATGACAGTCTCACACTCTGTCTTCGGAATCCGTTTTAATTCCTGCTTTCCTAGGAACTGAAAAATATTGAACTCGAAAGTTTCAAGACTAATGATTACTATGGCATGTTCAGGTGAATTTGGTTGGTTGAAGTGGTCTATGACTTTTCCCTGAGTACAGATCACTCCTGGGTCTTCACTTTTGATGCTTTCTAAGAAACGGAGAGTATATTCTGATTTGTTGGGAAGATTTCGTTTGCTTCACATTGATTATTTTTTCCTGATTCCATTAACTCAGGAATCTGAGGTGATGACAGTTCTGTATGTTCTGACTTTAGTTTTTGAAGAAACTGATTACTGAATATCTTGTCAATTTATCCCTGTTTGAAAGTTACAGAGGGTTATTGATTAGCCAATTCAAAAAGATCTATGCATGGTGCCATTATATAGGCACAGAATGAGTTTGATGTTATAAAATGGCAGAGAAATGCTAGTATTATTTCAAGGTCAAAGCCGCCAACCTCCTAAGTCATGCTAATGTGTAAAACTCATGTACTATTAAAATCTAATGAGAACTGAAATAATCGTGTATTTAAATGCAAATTTCATTTCTTAACAAATAAATTGTACATGTTGGGGGGGAAAAATCCAGATGGTGTGCAAGAAGAAAGTAAGTTAGAGGTGTGGTAACAATTGCAAAAAACAAATTACCTTTAAAATCTACCACTGAATTTTTGTAATTATTTTTAGTCCCCCTTTCACGATAAGTGAAGGCAACGACTGATATTCGGAATTGGATATGTTGATAATAACATAATTGTATGCGACTTTAGATTTATCAGTGCGAATCGTTTTAAAAATTGGCCGTGTTATTTCTGTCCAAGTATTCCCTTCCTCATCTCCGGAAGACTCAAGGGAACATCATCAACAACTGTAGTTTAGTAGCTCAGATATCTCAGCGGGAAGCTGTCCCTTATGTCACTACAAAGGTGAGTGTTGGTTCTTTCTTATTTTTTTTCTAAAAAAATGTAGAAGGTTTATGTCACCACTGACACTATTTTGGTCGTTTTTGGAGGTGGATGCTTTGATTTTGTTTGTCAGGGCCAACCTGGGCTGAGAGGGATAACAATAATAATAAAAATAATAATAATAATTGCTTTTATACAGCACATATATCCACGCTGCACAGCATGCTCTTACAACCATTATTACCCCAGCAGACCCTAGAACTCTCAGAAAAGTTCTTGACTTCCTGGGATGCAATGTTCCATCTGAACAATGGAGATACTTGATAAAAATGTTCCCGTGCACAGTCTTTGAGCTCAAGTCTTGTATGTGTGACTGACATCGAAGCACCTAAATGCTTCAATGGAGATATCCGTCATTCATTGAATTTAAACACATTTTTTTTCTTTTTCTGCAGGTGTTTACTTTTTTCAGTGTTTTTGTTACCTCAAGTAGAATAGCAGGCAAAAGAGGCAGAGATAGATAAAAAATTTTCTTACCCTAGAACTTGAACCGATGACAATGTGAAAAGACCAGGAAAATAATATTAGTTCTTTTTTAAAGAGCGTTTGAGTTTGAGCAGTAAAGTGAGTGGGGACACCATGATTGGTCCTGTCTCATTCAGATCTGGCATTTGATGATGATCATCTATCTTCTTGAATGTTGTATCCATCTTGGCCTGGACAGGGTGGGTCAATTAAGTTAAGTCAAAACAGCTGGTCCCGTAAATTATTTAAATTGTGTCAGTGGAGGCTCAAAACATTCCTAAATATCAAATATTTTCGGAGTTTTCATGTTTGTTTATGTTTAGTAGAGGTTTTACGGTGCTCGCAACTGCATAAGGTCATATGAGCGCCAAGGGATGGATGTCTACAGAGAAGTCTTTACAGGGAATCAGGCTCACTCTGCTCACCTCTTTAGCTTCAACAGCACAAAGTCTTCTTCGACTATCAAGGCACCCGGGAAATAGCGGGTCACAAGAGTGTGACAAACATACAAAAGAAGTAGAGGGAAAATGACAATAGTTAGGATTAGGAAAGAAAAAAGCAGCAGTTCCTGTTGCAGTTCAGGCACAGTTATGAGTATGACATTGCTGAATCAGCCCATTTACAATTCTACTGTGCATAAGAACAAGTTAATGTCACCCCTTTGGGAATAGTCTAAAGACACTTCAGTCTGTGGCACAGTGAGTGGGGGGTGTTTTCATGTTTAATTTCACCGTTATGTACGTTTTTTCTTGCTGCTTAACTTGTTAAGTTAGTTGTGAAGATCATATCCTTTCTATTTCTACACATAACTCTCCCCTTCCCCCCTCCCCCACTCACCTCAATTTTTTTTATTTGCAGGGTGCAGTTTTGTCAATGACGAAAGCTTTAGCTTTGGACGAAGCTGAGAACAATGTCAGGGTGAACTCGTGAGTATTCTGCATTATTTTGTGTGAAACACAGTGAATATCCTCCATTATTATGTATTTGCTGTTTTTTTTTTTTTTAGCTCTCAATTACATAAACATTGTCAAAAAAAAAGAGAAGAAATTTTAGTTAGACGTGAAAATAGAAGAGCACATATTTTTACAATCATTGATTGAGTTTCCAACCTTTACATTAACTTTTTCATTTCAAAGAGAGTGTTAACTGATTCCGCCCTTTTGCCCATGACAGCGGCTCTGGGGTTTCCTGCTGTCGCCATTCGACCGCTGTGAGCGGCTCGATGAAGTCTGAGCGAAATCCGAAACGAATGTGCACTATTTAACATAGTTCCTACTTTTTAAGTTGTTGAAAGGAAGTAGACTTGATAACAAGCCTGACCTCAATTTCTGAGCACCAAAATCGATTGAAACTCTGTGAAATTCTTGCAAAAATAATTGTTTTGTTGTCACTATGTAGGTACTACGTAAGGGTAAACAACACAGAGCCTGGTATCCTAAAAAGACCCTTCAGCGAAAAATATTCTACTAAATTTGTGAAATTCTTGCATAAATGTGTGCAAGGGTGATATCTCTACAGTTTTGTATTGATTCCTATGAATTATAAAGACTTGTAGAGCTGAGAAAATAAGGCAAGTCGAAGTTTTTGAAGAGGTGTTGGGCAATTTTTTTTCTCATTCGTTTTTGATTACGGGAAAATACAATAGAATCAGAATATAGGTCATTGTAGTTGATATAAATAGATTCCTCTATTGATTCCCCTCAATTTGGTGACAATACATATTAGAGTAACTTAGAGCCTCACAGTAATGCATTAAATAGATGCACACGAGGTTAAAAATTGAACAGGGAAAAATTTACCATTTCCAGAGCCTGAACAATCATTAATGGAATCACTTAAAGTTCATCAAAATTAACAAAAATAAAGATAAAAAAATCCAACCACCCAAAAGTACAAAAAACTTATCATACTCCATGCTTCCAAATCCCAGATTCTCTCCTGGCAATGTGCTCACGCCCATGTGGGAGCAAGCTGCCATAGCGTCTGGCAATTACGATGAGGCCATCGAGATAGGGAGGAATGAGCAGGTAATCATTATGTTTGTGTGACTTCCTTTGCTGACTGAGCTCTGTTTTTCTTAGATAAAGAATGTGGGTCAAGGGAGAAAAATTTGTGTTAAGTGCCTTCTCCAAGGACACAATGTCTGGCCCGTGATGGGGTTTGAACGCACCTTTCGGATTGCGTGCTCAATAGTCATGGACCTCTAGACCCTTGATGCCACAGGAAATGATATTGATTACAGTTTTTGTTACCTTATTACAGTAGTGGCAGCTTATTTAGCTCAACTCAAATAATTTGTATCGTCCAAAAACTATATTCTTAGTGGAGCTCATAGGGTGAAAATCATGTCAGATTGGATAGATCTATATCTGTACTGAAGCATAGAGTGGAGTCTGCTTCATAACTTTTAGAGACTTGAGACTTCTGTGATTCTTCTAAAGCTTAATTAACTCTGGTCTTATGAAATTAAAAGAATACAGACAGTTGGTGGGTGCTCTGGTGTGGTTTACTTCTTCTTTCCTATCAGATCAATCATCTATCGTCCTGACCTCTCCTGCTTTTTTGTGTTTGTCACTCTCTTGTAACATCTCTAATTTTAGGCACTTATATGACCTTATTGTGCTGCAAGTGCTGTAAAACTCTTACGAAAAGAATAAATAATTGGAGCAAGAGTTGAAAACATCGTTGAGTTTATAAAGGCATATACAGTAAGCTCAAGGTAACCTGACTGTTCTTTCTTTTGCTCTTCTGTCTTCAGCCAATGGGCAGATATGGCACTATAGAGGAATGTGGCCTGCTCTGCCTTTTTCTCGCGACTGATGCCACTTTTTGTACCGGTATCAACATCAATATAACTGGAGGCGCAGAACTTGGATATGGCAGAAAAACCAGGAAGGAGTAGTAGCCGGTGACATTTACAGGAGAAGGTCTCTCTTCAGATGAATGAGCAACATGCTTATCCTTCTCTCTGTTCCACACATCTCGCTACCTTTGAATTACAAAGTTCTATTTGACATTTTTGGCCATTTTGAGTTATTAAGACCATGAGGTCAGAAACCAAAAGCTCTATTTGCTTTATGAAAATTGTAAGATTATTCAGAGTCGTTTTCAAGATATTCAAAGAATTGCATTCGAAAATGCTCGACTAGTTGTGAAACTCAAAATTGTTGACGTCAAATTTCTCAAAACGAGGTACTGAGCAGATAGAACTTTGTAATTCTAGAGTAGTGACCTATCACCATCATCATGGCCGTTGGTGGTCCACTCATTGCCACTACAAGGCTCCATCTTTTCCTCGGTCTGTGCTTTTCACGTATCTACGTATCATTTCATGAAGTTGTAGTAGACCACAGTCTGATTTTACCTTTTCAATATAATATGATGCAGGTAGTCTTCCCCTATTTCTTTTTGCCCCTACTTTGGCGTGCAGCTTAGTTGTGGCCTCCTCACTATTAAACCAGAAACGGAATTCTTATTGTTAGTGCTGACGTCACATGCAAGAGGTCACCCTCCTTGTGTATTTTGTTGTAACCCTTCACTGTTTTTGCTTTTCTAATGGGTGCAGGTCTAAAACCTTTTCGTCTGGAGAGGCTTAGAAAGTACATCTAGTCTGAGAGGAAAATATTTATTTATATATATATAAATAGATATGTGTGTGTGTGTGTGTGTGTGTGTGTGTTGGCTTTATGTTGTTCATACGACTTACTCATGGTCACAAAGAGATTCTTTATTACTGTCCTTAGATCCAATCATTGCAAACACATCTCTTGCATTTTTCATGTTGTCATATTTCACAAATATTTTTACTGAGTTGCACAGTGAATGATAGAGGATGTTAAATTAAGTGCTGTCAGTTTTGTGTACTGTAGTGTTATATAAAACTTCTGTGAAATGGCGAATATTCACAAAAATTTTTGTATTTGCAAGAAAGGAGTGTGAATGTGATTTTCATCAGCGTATTAATTTTCTTTACATGTATTTGCGACTTAATTGTATCTGCCTGTTACCCTGATTTATACAGAAATTTGCAATAATTACCATGTTGGTTTCACATTTTTGTGTTCAGATTTTTGCTATATAATATTTTTTATTATTCAGAAATATTTTTTTACAGTTCTGAAAATTATTTTACTTTTTTTTCTGTTAATCCATGACACTTGTTTGAGCTCAAGATAGTACTGCCAAATTCGTGAAGGTCGCTGCTGGCAAGATACAGTTTACAAGGAGCATGGTATCTTCCCACACACTTCTGCTTAGCGTACATCAAACAAAAAGAAGTTACAATTTACAAGTTGCCTTCCTAAGTTTTCTTTTCCATTATAAAGTCTTTTATAAAATAAATTTTACACCTTTGGATAAACCACATCAAGAATGCCAGTTTATGATTTTACATCAAGTATTTGGAAGGCTAGAAGAAAACCAAATGCCTTGAATATGTTGTATAATGCAGTCCATGATGCCTTCACTCCAGTGTGAGTTCTCTGCTTTTCTGATCCAGCTGAGTTCTATATGATACAATGTTCATTGTTTATCGCTGCACATTTTATAAAAATATCTTCTAACATTCACCTGTCCCATAGTCTTGCTGATCGTGGGGGCATCACAGATGGACACTTAGCCTTTTTCTTTCACGTGCCTTTATCTTCTAACCTTCACCTATCCGGTTAGTTTGGCCGATCATAAGGGCACCACAGGTTGCTTCTGTATGCTTTTCTTGCTTTTTTTCCCAGCATGCACTACATTATCGTTGTAGTGTCTATTTACTCCTTTTTACTCAAACTCTAACAGAGAAATGAAAGTGTTTGGAGTGAGCATATCAGATTTTATCGTTCAGGTGATGGAGGACCAATGTGTCGTTCCTTCTTGCAAATTAGATAAGATAAGATAATATTTTATTGTCCCAGAGGGAAATTTTTCTTGGCCGTACAGGAAGCATAATCCAAACTGTCTACAAAGGTGCTATGGTGCCCCCTACATCTAGAGGTTTTTTTAAAACAACTTGTGATGTTTGCAATACTTTTTTGTCACTATGCTTTGACTTCTAAAAAAAAATATTTAAAAAAAATGTGTGTTCTGGTTTATTTCCTGTTTAAGGAAACTTACAACATTTCGAATTATTTTACAACAAAGTGATATACATAAATTTGAATTTTTGTCCTTATTTGAAATCAAAGCAACTGAGTCTGTATTGAAATCCTTTACTGTTACGTCTTTCTTTTCAGCTTTTTAGTTGAGGTGCTTAGCTGGTTGTTGATCTAAACATTGTCTTTGGAAGTTGTTATGTTTTGGAAGTGCCAGTTGATGTATTTGCGATCATGTTTTCAATGTTGCATTTACATCTGACATTTTTGTTGCACTGTACCTAAATTAGTTTAAATATTGTGTAATAGGTATCAACATGATAGACTGCTTTTAGAAAATGCACACCACCTCTAAAATATAGTCTTTTAGTGCTTTACAATATATATTGTTAATTTTTTCCCTGTGCTCTAGTGTAGAGGTTACCTGAAATGTATTTTGACAAGATAACATAATATGATCTTTATCCAACGATATAGGCCTACATATTCCCAGAGTATTCATAGTTCTGGTAACATCAAGTACATCAGTGAAATGTTTTACGAGGTTCACAGTGACCTTTGTGGGAAAAAACAAAATGCATTGAATTCAAGTAGGCTACTTGGAAAATTGCTTATGAGGAAATTGGTTTTGGAATTGATTTTATTTTTATGCAGTGATTCTTTTCTTTGCTCTGATTCAGGCCACAGAATACAGAATAACATGAGTGCTCTCATCTTTTGGGGGGGCCAGAGTTGCTGATAGTATTTAAGTAAAGGGGAAGATAAATTAAACATGCAGTTCATTATCTCCCTGACTCTTTTTTTCCCCCTCTCTTGAGGTGTTTACATGCCGATTGACTCATTTTAGATAACCTTAGAGGTAGGCTTTGACTTGTTCCCAATTTAGCAGCAATACAATAAACGTATATCAGTAGCAGATTTTCTCTTCAGCAGAATGCGTTCTACTATAGGTGTTCAGGAGCCCTGGTATCTGAGAAAATGAGGTATTGAGGACAAAGCACTTCCATGTTATCTAGATTTTTAAAAAGTAACTTTGCTTCTTGGTAGGAATTGACTTTTTGCTGTTGGTAAATAAACAAATATAAAAATAATTATCATGTATGAATGTAGTATAGGGTTTTACGGCGCTCGCAACTGCTAAGGTCATATGAGCGCGAATAATTATCAGCACAAGCTGAAGGACAAAGTACACATATTAGTCATTGTAAAAAAAATGCTCAGTTACTTGGTGGGCTAAAGTGTCTGGAGTTAGTTACAAATTTTTCTTGTGATGGTAATTATAATGGCTTGTCCTAACCCGGTTACATTTGTGACTTGGTAATTAAAATGAAAAGATGCAATTGATTTATATATTGACATATATTTTCTACCTAAGTGTACTTTGAACTAGTTTTTTGTTTTGATATTTGAGCCCTGCACTTTGAGGTTAGTACCGAAATGAAAAAATGCATTCAGGGGCTCAAAACATAATGTTCTCTCTCCCTTTATGTATACTAACACCACTATTTGTGTATGCTAACGCTACTATATAAATATATA